AGGATTCATCCTGAAAAGAGCAAGTGAAGTCTCTCTGCCTGTCCCTGCCATCACCTGCATCCCTGTCATGGGCCTGGGCAGCCCAGGCTGCAGGAAACAACAACTGACTCCAACACAAACACATCTCCTGTGGCTGCCAGTAGGGACAAACAGTGCCAAAAGGGATCACTGAAGAGTAGGGTAAAAACACGGAGGGGAAATTCAATCAGATATTATGAATTCTGTGTGTATCTACAAGGACAGAACCAGGGGATGACCCTCCACACTGTCCCCTGGATCAATATTCCACAGCAGATCAGTAAATGGAAGACAGATGTTTAGAAATTGTGTGACACTTACTGTGTACAAATCCACTGAGAAAAAAAATACAGTCCAAGTCCTAAAATTCTGTCTTGCACATCCCAAAGAAATTGAAATATGTGTAGTTTATTTCCTTGTTAGTGGCCTTTCAACAAAATGTATATATCATATAATGTTGATGTTACTGTATGTAACTTGGAAACTTGAAGCACTGCTCTGCAAGTTACATAAGATATAAATATTTGCTTCAGTAATAACCTCCTCCAAAGCAATCAATCACTACTTCTTTCAAATACTTTAAAGGTTTTAAAAAACAAGGCTGTGTACAAAAGTAACTAAAGAATCACAAGGCTGCAAGGGGCAGAGAGGAGCGCAGCTCTATGCTCAGAAAAGTTGCACAATCTGACAAATACCCACTCTCTTTATAAATAGTGTCTCTGGAAGCCAGACAAAGGCAGGAAGTAAGCCACTAATTATTTTTTAAATTTCTATTTATTTCTCTTTCTCTTCTATAGAAAGCAGAAGCAGAAGCTCTGAGTGCATCTGTTGGAATCTGCTGTTGTCACTGGCTGAGAAACCAGTTCACAGCCAGAGGAAAGCCTAAGCCTCAGGACTGGGATGTTCAGCTGCTCCTCCTGCCTCTCCCAGCTCCGAGGGATCCCACAGGAACACTGCTGCCCCCTCCCACGGTGAAGAGCTGGAAGGACTGCCAAGGACCCTCCCTCGCAGTTTCCACGGCAGGAACACCCGAATTCCACCACTTCTCTCGGTTCCCCACGGTAACTTCCCTTGGCTCTAGGGGGAGAACGGATCCATGCTCAGGGAGTACTTGTTCTGTTGGGATTGCACTTGGCAGCTGAACCTGCTACATGATTCAGAGCAAAAGCCAATTTTTTCTATCTTAGAGGGAGAAATAAAACTTTGTGGCTCTGTAAGACAGATGTCAGGGATTTGAGCATGAGCTGACAGCACATCAACTCCTCCAGTGCCTGTTTTACACAGGCAGAGCTCAGACAACAATAGTCATGTAAATAACTGCATCACTACACGTGAGAGTCACCCCAGCCCAGCTCGGGCCCCACCAGCTGCATGCACTTTTTCCCAACACAAAATTAGAAGCAGACTGACAAGGCTCACAATTTCACTCTTTTCTGTTTGTTTCTCCAGGGAGGGGGGACATCAGAGTGCAAATGAAAGCCACAACCCACTTCAGCTCCCCCAGGAACTTCAGCAACTGTACCAGCGACAGCAGGATCAGCCAGGTCATCTTCCCTCTGCTGTACACATTTCTATTCCTGGTGGGCATCACCATGAACGGCCTGGCAATGTGGATCTTCTTCAAAATATCCAGTAAATCCAATTTCATCATCTTCCTCAAGAACACTGTCATTTCTGACTTTCTCATGATCTTGACTTTTCCATTCAAAATCCTCAGTGATGCAAAGCTGGTGTCGTGGGTCCTGCGAGGGTTCGTGTGCCAGGTCACCCAGGTTGTGTTTTACTTCACCATGTACATCAGCATTTTATTTCTTGGTCTGATAACCATTGATCGCTATCAGAAAGCCACTTCACCATTCAGAACATCAACTCCACGGAGCCTTTTGGCTGCCAAGATCCTTTCCACAGCAATCTGGGTATCAATGTTTGCTCTTTCATTACCCAACATGATTTTAACTAACAAGAAGAGAACGCCCAAGAACGTGAGGAAGTGTGCTCTCCTCAAATCTGAGTTTGGCTTAATCTGGCACGAAAGTGTAAACTACATTTGCCAGCTTATCTTCTGGGTTAATTTAGCAGTCATAGTGGTATGTTACATCCTCATCAGCAAGGAACTCTACAAATCCTATAAAAGGACAAGATGCACAGGGAAGGCATCCAAAAAGACTGTCAATCTGAAGGTTTTCATCATCATTGCTGTGTTCTTTATTTGTTTTGTGCCATTCCACTTCACCAGAATCCCCTACACCTTGAGCCAAACGAGAGACGTGTTTAACTGCTCTGCTCAGAACACCCTGTTCTACCTGAAGGAGACCACGCTGTGGCTGACATCCCTCAATGCCTGCCTGGACCCATTCATATACTTTTTCCTTTGCAAGTCCTTCAGGAAGTCCTTGCTGGGCACGCTGCGCAGGCACACGGCGCTGTCGGGGCTCGGGACACGGACCCAGGAGCAGAACGAAGGGGATGACACGGACGAGACGCCCGTCTAGAGCTCAGGGGTCCCCACGCCCCTTCCTGGCCTTCCACCTTATCGTGGAACAATCCTGTGGAGAGTATCCAGAGCTTCACTGACCTCTTTAGAAATTGTCCTGCAGATGAAGCATGAGCACCCTGGAACCACCACCACTGGCTGCAGAAACAGAAAGCTTGAGTAACAGAGGAGTCTCCCCAACCTCCATCCTTGCCAAAAAGGACCTCCTCTGACCCCAGTCGCCATGCCTGTCTGAACTGCAGGGAAGTAGCTTGAACTTAAAGGTAGAACTGTGAGGAAAACTTCAAAGAGAATCATGAAATGCTACAGATGAGATCACAAACTGCCAAGATTTTGCAGAAATAGATAAATTTGGGTCAGAGCAAAGTCCATCACAACACAAGATCTGGGAAATGCAGCTAACATCCACACTAAATGTAATTTTTCAATACAGGGAGCTGTCACCTGGTACACAACTGGCAGATAAACAAACCTAGGCCAGATGTAGAGGAGCCATTTGTCTGTGCAGATTTTTGGTAACAGAATAACACTGTGCTTTTCTCATTCTGTGCTTGCAATTCCTAATCCATTGACCAATAACTAATAGTTGTAATCGTTGTATGACAGAGGAAATTATTTCATAATCAGGTTTATCTCAATATGACTTATATCCTCAAATTCTTGCCCTTACTACATAAATAAACAAAACTGTACACTTTTACAGAGAACTATATATTATATTAGAAGATATACAAAGAGTTTTTGCACTATACAAAATATTCAACCATTTCCCCTTTTGCAATTGGAAAACTTGGAAAAAAAAAAAAAGGAAGTATTTTCAGGTACATGACATCTGCAGGTATCACAACAACAAGAAATAGCCCGTGGGCTACTGGAATAAATTGTGGTTCATTTATCAGCACTGCAAACAGCTGCAATTAGTCAGTGTGTGTCACCATCACACCAGAGCTCAGGCCTGCCCAAGCCATCGCCTGTCCACCCTTCCCAGGACGTGTCCCTGCCTGCCAGGGCACTTCTGCCACTGAACCCCAATTTCCAAAGCTAAAAGGCAGCTCACTCACTGCCACACTGAGCTGTGGGGTCTGTGCATCTCTAATAACCTCAGGATGAGTTAAACCTTCCCCAAACCCTTTTGTGCCCTGCTGATGCCGGTCCCTGCCCCAGCTGACACAATATCAGTAACTGGGTTCCACGGCAGAGCACAGAGCACCAGGATTTCCCTGGAAACAGCGCTCAGTCACCCTGGAGTGTGCTCCCACACCACCCCACAGGTCCCCAGGCCAAACAGTTCCCACTAGTGCCCAGGAGGGATGTGCCAGATGCCCCACTCCCACCCAGCACTCATTGCACATATTTACTGCACCTACACCCAGAGGCAGAGTGGCAATTACCTGGCAGCTGCTTCCCCTGGTCTGATGAGTTGTTCAGACAGCAGACACCACAGACACTGTGACCCACACAGAGGTACCTGGTACCTGCTGCCTTTGACAGCTGGGAACAGCATCAAGAGCTCAGTTTGGAAGAAAACACAGAAGGCACTGCACTGGACATCAGTCCTGGAGCATTGCAGTGGACAGTGTCACCTTCACAGTGTCACTGATGGGCAAACAGGAGGCAGGCTGGGCAGCCAGGGACACATCAACACATCACACTGATGGCAGTGGCAAGGGTGAGCTTCATCCCAGCCATCCTCAAGGTTCTTCAACCTCCCCAGCCATTTAACACTGACACCAGCCCCCACATTAGCCAAAGTGTATCAGGTACTGATGCACAGACTCCCTGTCAAACTGCAGCCCAAGCATCTGGTGAATCCATCCATGCCTGTCCCAAAGGGACAGCTTGACCATGAGGCACTTCCCACACTGCAGCGAGCACAGAGCCAGAGCTGCCACATCAGTGGGCAGGAACAGACTTGCACAAACAGCTCTGTTCACAGAGAAATGCACCAAACTCCAGCATTACACTGAACTCCAGTATTACACCTAACAAACACATCATCAATCCACAGCCTTGCATGTAGCAGTACCTCCTGCCAGGACCAGAAAGTGGCTGTAACCAGCACAGTGCATCATCTGGCTACACAGACCAAAATAAACTAGTTCTTTGGATCTCCATTCTGGAGATCCAGAGTTGAGCTCAGGTTCATGTGTCAGCATTCCCAAGCCACAGGGAGAGGGGGGAGTCCCTGAGTATGTTGGTGCAGGTGGTTTTGGAGCTGAGTATCCACTATAAGGTGGCTCTGAGCAGACTCTGGTCACACATTAACAACCAGTGCCATCCAGAACAGCAAATTCACACACACAAACAACCACTAGGAGCTACATTTGAGGATTGTCCTGGAAAACTGTCAGGACAGTTTTGTGTTTGTTCATCCCACATCTCTAAAGGAGCCAAATCATAATGCCCAGAGCAGGAGCAGCAGGTCTGTCCCACACACACACAAACCCAGAAATGTGTCTGACTTGAGGGACGGGGTCAGGTTTCCTTTACCAGTTTAGGAGAAGGCAGTGTGCTTTCTCATGCAGAGCAAAGGGAAGAGAGAAAGCATGATTAACTAACTTGGCGACACACGAAAATGAGGAAGGAAACCACACACCACACCACCAGAAAAAGATCTCTTCTTTCTACTCATTTCCCCTTTCTTAATACTTTGCTCAAGGCTTCTGTTGGCGGAGGAACAGTGGATGATCCGGGGACAGCCACGGAGGCCTCTGCAACAGCTGCTGCAGGTTTGCTCAGGTACTGGCACAGCCGGAGCATTTGGGGGCGTGATGGGGTGCTCGGGGCTGGTAACCACCAGTGTGCATCTGACCTTGGAAATGTTATCTAAAGGTGTGCTGAGAAAGCAAAACAGTGTGTGCTCGGAAAAAAATACCAGAAGGCACCTCCCCAGGAGTGCTTGGCTTTTGGCCCACAGCAGGGACATTTCTATTCAATCCTAAAATACATCTCCGAGGAAAGACAAACGGTGCTCCAGGAAATCTGCACTTACACCCTGCTACAACGTTACCTTGGGCCTCCAGAATGAGTGTGTACCATTTTAACTTTTCAGTGGATGTTAGTTTGTAAACAACCTAAACTTGGGCAAAGATTTAGATTTTCTATGAACCACAAGAGACATTGGCCAGTCTGTTTAACGCACGCTCAGGTTTTTTGTTTGTTCGTGCAAACCTGCCATCCCCGTAAGGAGCACGTAACATTAAATGCAGAAAGTTATGTTCTGTGCTTTCTCTCTCCTTTTCATCCAAGTCTGTTTCCAGTGATGGGAGACTCTGCCAACACGAGCACTGTGGGTTACACAGCTCCCTCCTCCCCCCCATGCCAGCGCGACACCAGCGTCACCCGCCTGCTCTTCCCGGCGCTGTACACGCTCATCTTCCTCCTGGGACTCACACTGAACAGCCTGGCTTGCTGGGCTTTCTGCCACATTCCAAGCACATCAACCTTCATCGTCTACTTGAAAAATATCTTAGTTTCAGATCTTATAATGACCCTGATGCTTCCTCTGAAGATCCTGACAGACTCTGGCCTGGGACCGTGGCAGCTCAAAGCCTTTGTCTGTCGCTTCTCAGCAGTCGTGTTCTACGACACCATGTACATTAGCATAGTGCTACTCGGGCTCATTGCTTTTGACAGATTTCTCAAGATTGTGAGACCTTTTGGGAAGTTCTGGGTGCAAAACCCGACCTCAGCAAAGATCCTCACAGGTCTGGTCTGGCTCTTCTTCCTTGTTCTCTCTCTGCCCAACACAATCTTATCCAACAAGACAGCGACGCCCCAGTCCGTGAGGAAGTGTGCCTCCCTGAAGAGTTACCTCGGACTCAAGTGGCATGAAGCCGTCAGCTATATCTGTCAGTTCATCTTCTGGACTGTCCTCATCCTCATGTTGCTATTTTATATAATTATCACCAAAAAGGTATATGAGTCATACATAAAAACGCAGAAGAAAGACAACAAAAGGGAAAAACGGATCAAGGGGAAAGTATTCATCATTTTTACCGTGTTCTTCTTATGCTTTGCCCCCTTCCACTTCAGCAGGGTCCCCTACACTCTGAGCCAAACGACTGCCCACGTGGACTGTGCCCTGCAGAAGCAGCTCTTCGTGGCCAAAGAGAGCACACTGTGGCTGGCAGCCACCAATGTCTGCATGGACCCCCTGATCTACATGGTCCTGTGCAAGCCCTTTGTGGAGAGGGTGTTATGCAGGAGAGTAAAGACCCGTCGGAGAGCATTTTATAGAAACCCAAGAACTGAACTGGACACACGAGTGTCTCCTACCGAGTCTTGATTCTGAAGCTGCACACTCTACTCTGCGTGTTCATAGAGAACTTGGAAATTGTTTTGGTTTACCTCTGTTGGAGAAAACAAAAGGGTGGCTGCACTGTAATATTAATACTTAATAAAAACAGCAAAATGGGTTTTCTATGTACACTCACTGGTCAGCGAGAGCAAAAAGCTCTCGCTCAAACTGCCTAAGACAATCCACAGGTTAATTCTATATGCTTTAAACTAAAACAACTCACTAACACTTGAGCAGCTTACTGACTCCGGCTGCTTCTAAGAACAATTCAGCTTTATTTGGGATTAAACCCCAGAGCAGTTGACTGTGATGTCAGTAGTTCCTACCCTGGGTGTCATCTTGGCTGCACGTCACAGGTCAGGGAAGAGGAGGAACAGAGGGAAGGACACGGTCCCTTCCTGTCCCTCTTTGCCTCTCTCACACACATGAATACTTCCTGCCACCCACACTGTTTCACCACCATTCCCCTCTGCTCCCAGCAGCACTTTGGTGGAGGACAGTGTTGGCAATACCCAGGTCCCTCCAGGGCACACTCCTCATCCAGGCCAGTAGAGCACCCAGGACTGCATCCCCCACAAAGGGCACCCCAGAGCTGCTGGTGCTCACCCCCACCCCACCACTCACCAGAGGGGAACACTCAGAGATGTCCCCCTTGGTGGCACATTTACCCTTCCCAGTCCCAACAACAGAGCAAGAGAAGGGAGCAAGGAACACTGCCTGACCCTCCCCACCCAGAGAACCCCTCCCCACCCGGCTCCCTGCACCACTCACAGAGCTCTTTCTTGGCTATCCCACACAGGCTGTGACTGGAGAGAGAAACTACTTGCTAATACAAAATCCTGGAATTTATGTCACTATTTTAAGACATAAAATATATACCAACCACTTACTGGCTCCAACTGTCCAAAGCAGAGCAGCCATGTCACTTATCCCCAACCACCTCTTCTCCTCCAGCTCTCCTGACAGCTTTGTGCTCTCTCACACGTGCCAGACACTTTGATCACCACTTCACTGCTATTTTTAGAAATTCATTATTTACAGCAGCCTAATCCAATCCAGCAGGTTGCTCCATACAGCCTGCTTTTTTCAAAGCTGTTTTAGATTACTGTGCATTAATTACATCTACCTTTGGGGTTCCCCAGCCTCTGCCACACAGGGAGATGTATGTCTTATTTAGCAACTTCTACCCACTACATCTTCTCTACCAGGCATGTTACATACCATCCACAGCTGTAACACTCTTTTATAGCTGGAAACTGAACTAATCCCCAGTCAGCTTCCAGTTGGTTATGAATTTCCCCATAAATCAGTGTTATCTCAGCCACTGTCTTGCTCTTGGGATTAAATGCTATTCAAGAATTAATTCCTCTCTCCCCACACACATACAGTGTTAATAGAATTAACTTTGCTCCTTTAGGAAAAGTAAATACATTGAATTCTTAGCTGCTGAAATAGTCATCACTTTAGCAACTGCTTAAAGGAATATACAGGAGGCTGGAGATGTTCCTCTCAGCCTACTGACCCAGTGTGGAAATGAACACAGGGGCCTGAGCTAAAGGCTGGGAGAAGGGGTCTGTAAAACAGTTGGGACCTTCCACCGGGCAGGTGCCCGCTGAAATCTGTGCTCCTGAACCTTGGATGTGTGAGGGGAGAATCCAGGACAAGCCTCTGCAGCTCAGTCCTCCTTCTTCCCTCTGAATCCCACCGGCACAGCCAACACACAGGTCCCCAGCGCTCCCACTGACTGCATCCAGCTCTGCATTTACAGCGGAAAACTGAGCAGTGTGGCAGGGAGAAAATAAGAAAATGGTGAAATAAGAAAACTTATTCCAGTGTGGAAATTTCTTTTATTTTCTGATTCCTACTGCTTGTGATTGACGCCCATGTAATGCCATGCACACACACGCCGGCAGCTCCCCCAGCTCTGTGCTGAGAGCCTGAGAGTGGGGTGGGTGTGACCTCAAAATGGGCTGAGTTGCACCGTAAATAAGGGGTGTGCCAAAGGTTTCTGAGGAGTCTTAATCATCTGTTTTGCAGCTGCTGTTTCTTAGGTAGGTAAAAGGGAGCCAAAGTTACCAAACTGTAGCAGAGAAGAGAAGGTGACTGCAAGGACAGGACACCTGTTGATCCACTCAGGGGAAAAAAAGGCCCTGAATTCTAAGACTTGCGATTCTGCACGTTTTTCTGCAAATTTTTAAATCTCTGCCTCCAATGGAGTAAAAGTCATAACAGTTAAAATACCTCATAGTTTAGGTCTCTGCTTTTTAAGGCTCAAAGAAATACTCAGTTTTAGGTTTTTATGTTTTACACCTGACCAAAAGGGAGACTCGTTTAGAGAACAGACCTCCCTCGGAACCAGAAGCCCCAGAGCACAGGGAGGGAGTACAGCAGAATGCCACAGAACTGCTTCATTGGGCTGCCCAGATTCCTTCAGTGCAGCCAAGAGATTTACAGAATTCAGCAAAGTTTACCAGTGTATTCAATACAACAGTCACCAATTTTCCAAATCTGATTTTTCTCCCAACCCAGCTGGAAGAGGCTGGAGCTGACCCGAGAGAAACCCTCGTGATACAGTGAAACCCTTGTGTTCAGTGACACAGCAGCTGTACAGACAGCAAACACACCATTCCCACCGTACATGTGCTCACTCCAGCCCATCACACCAGGAGGCAGCAGCAGGGCTTGCCCTTTCCACAGCCAAATGTTCCCTTGCATGACTTGCCCTCACTCCAGACAACCTGGAAACTGGAAACTGGCACCAGGCCTTCAACCTGTTTGGAGAGATGACCCTTGTCCCAGGCTCCCATGGGCCAGGATTCACACAGAAACTACTGACATTTGTCCTTAACACCTCCACAGGCCATTCAGTTCCTGAAAGGATTGCTACAGGGCACTCAGAAGTCAAGTTTGGTAGGAAATCACTTATTTGGATACAAAGGCTTACATAAATTTCTTTGTATTTTGCACTTTGTGTTTCAGATAAGGGAAGTATTTTATACCCTTGCCTAACACACACACACCATCGAGGCCTCAGACCGCCTCTCCTCAATGGGACAGCACAGTAATTCCTGAGTGCCCAAAGACAAAATCAGTTCTTCATCCATGTCCTGACCCTCAGCACAGCAATACATATCTCCCCAGCCAGGCTCCTGCAACCTGAGTACTGAGAAAGCTCTCATAGCACACAGCAGTGCTTTAATTAGAAATGCAAACAAACAATTTGCATCCTGAATCAGAGCTGGGAAGCCAAGCCAAGCAGTCAAGGCATGACCCACGTGACAGCACATGCACAGAGCCAGCACGGGAGAACTGAAGGCACCAGGACGGGCCTGAGACTACAGCTGGAGTCAGACAGCCAAGGCCTGGAACTTCAGGCTGTGAGGAACTTGAGGATGGAGAGAAAAAGGACTGAGCTTTTAAAGTCAGTTCTTAATTAGCTCCTTTCCTCCTTCCTTCCCTGTTAGTGACAGTCATCACACAGTGACTGGAGTAATCCACCACAGGAAAGGAGAAGTATCAGCTCTTCCAGGACACTTCCCCTGACAAAAGCACCTTCACATCTGCACGTGTAATGCTGGAGAATCCTCCCCGTGACGCAAGCTCTGGCCCTGCTGCCACTTTTCTGCTTAAAAAACAGAAACAGCCTGTCCTGTGCATTACCCAGGTGGTGAATCTGCTTTAACATAACCCTGCAGTTTGTATTGCTAAATATGGCAGTGAAGGAGTTTTAGAATGAAGCAACACAGTAATTGTCGTAATAACGTTGTTCAGGTTCTTATGCAATCTGAGAGTTGCTCTCTAATCACCAGAACACAAAAAGGGACATCCAGCCTTTAAATAATGTGAACAATAGTGAAGTTACAGGTTACCTTCAGCTTTTCTTTACATCAGAGCTTCGCGTTTCTCCCGCGCCGTTTTTACGACAAACTCCCCACGTTTCGTGTGTCAGCTCGTCCTGACCTGCTCCAGCCTGGGAGCAGCCAGCAACACGTCTGCGCTGGAGCCTGCTTGGGGATGCCAGGGCACTGGGTTCTAACCCATCAAGTTTTGCTGAGGCACCAAAATACAGGGATTTTAAAGACAAATTAATGTGTCGTTGCACCACATTCAAAAACCAAACAAGCCAAAACCCCAGTCTGGTGTAGATTTTATTTGTTATTTGATCACTACTCACACACCAGCTTTGGTGTGCGCACTTCATTCCCAGAGTGCTGGCTCATAAACACTTGGTCTCTGTAAGAGATTAAGTTATATTTTTTAAACCTTTCAGTTGTCACTTCCAACTTCTTCCCTCCTCCATAGCACATCCTGCTGTGCTGGTCCTTAGAGCCCAGCCTGAGGGACCACCAGCACCAGCAAGTACCTGAAGAACACCAACATGACTGTAGCCATCATGTGCTGTTGTGCTGTGTCTAGATCACAGCCCACAGGCCTGAGGACACAGGAGCAGCCACACCACACCAAGGCCAAACTGTGCCCCCCACCAGGATGCAGGAACTGTGCTCCACAGCCAGGATGCAGCCCAGCACCCGGCTCCAGAGCACACGGTCTCACACACAGCACAGGGCAAGTGTGTAGCAGGTTGTTCCAGGAGGGTACAAACCCCCTACATACCCTCAGACTTTTGCTCTCCTATCTCCAACAAGCAGCTGGAAGGGGAGCAAAACAGAAGCACCTGCCAAACCCTGAAGTACAAGGGACAGCCAAAAGCAGGTGAAATGGAAGCTGGCACACACGGTCCTACACAGTCACATGCAAGGTCTGAGAGAGGAAAAGTCTCCTCTTCCTGACCACAGAGGAAGCCTTCTCCATCCTCAGGGGATGCCTGCAACAGGGACCATCCCCTAATGTCAGAATATCCAGTTTCTGGGATGAGTTTGGCAGCTTGTGGTAATAAAGTTGAAAACATAACAGAGTGGACCCATGTTCCTACAATTTCATCTGCATGATCTGCTTTGCCTTGCAAAAACCAGTCTGCAAAGGCAAGCTGTGCCTGAAGCCTCCTGTGATCAGTGACTGTGCCTGATTCAAGGGAGAGGTGCTGAGGCAAGAGGGAATGTTACAGTCTGCCCACTGTAGAAACCTGGGATTTAGCACAGGGTTCCCTGGACACAGGCCAGAGGAAGCTG